TTCTAGCTATCGAGTCGATTCATACACATAACTACATTCACAGGTTAGTTGATTATGTCGTGGAAATTCACCTACAAATTAGATTGCATCCGTACTAATGTGCTTCACGCATCTGTTCATCTAACTTTTCAGAGACATAAAACCGGACAACCTTCTTTTGGACCAAAGGGGTCATATGAAACTGTCTGATTTTGGTCTTTGCAAACCTCTTGACTGTTCAAATCTGTCTTCTATAAATGAGAATGAAGTCCTTGACGACGATAACTTGCACGACACGGTGGATGTTGATGCAAGTGTTCCGGGGAAGAAAAGTGGGAGGCGTTGGAAGAGCCCCCTTGAACAACTTCAACATTGGCAGATTAACAGAAGGAAACTGGTAATGTGGAGCTCAATGCATACTCAGTGTTAACATAAACTAATTTTTCAACTAACAAACACCAGAAAGTTCTGTTCTTCTGGCTTTCGAGAACCTGAATGTCGGATTATACTTCATGTTCTATGTTCTTGTTTGTTAATGCTAGGCATTCTCCACGGTTGGCACTCCAGACTACATAGCTCCAGAAGTGTTGCTTAAAAAAGGATACGGCGTTGAATGTGACTGGTAAGTTCAATCCTTTTTGAGCCTTTTCCATTGAAATTTCCCAACAGTATCATGAGAACAAGTTCTTGTACCTATCCTGGATGCAGGTGGTCTCTTGGTGCAATAATGTATGAAATGCTTGTTGGTTATCCACCATTTTATTCTGATGATCCAGTAACAACATGCCGAAAGGTTAGATCCAAAATTACAATTCTTGAACTTGTTTATGGATAGGACATCTGATTTTCTTGTTGCTTTCTTCATCGAACGATGTAACTATATATCTAAACCAATCGAGCGATGCTCAGGTTGGTTGTTGACGATTCTCTTTAAAAATGAACGAGCAACATTTAACTAAACCAACGAAGAACGATCCCTAAAGTAGAAAGGGGCAGAAGCATCTGACACCGTTTTGAATGCAAAGGGGGTGACTCGGAGAGATACATGCTAACTATGGGTAGAAAGCAGGAACCATTTATGCAATGAATTTCGGGGGGTTACAAATCTCTTATACTACTATTGATCAACAGAGCGGAACAATCAAAAAAAGAAGTGAAGTTAGAAAGTCGTATGATAGGTGGTAACTATCTTGTACGGTTCGGGGGTAATTGGCGTACTCGTATACATTTTTTTTTCCAAAATCCAATGGTCAAATAGAAACCAAAAGACACGAATGAGGTAAGCGTTTGAAAGACTACATAGAACTAAAATCTTTCATCCTAGTTTCGTAGTAAGTTGTCTGTGTCGAGAGTCGTATAAAGCTTTCTGAGTTCTTTCATCGCTATCAAGGGAACTTTATGTGCTAGTTTGTAGCCCTTTTGCTACATGATCAGTTCTTAAATGTTCTTTCCTTCTATCTTGTACTATCAGATTGTGCATTGGAAAAATCACTTAAAATTCCCTGATGAGATAAGGTTATCACCTGAAGCAAAGGACCTGATTAGTAGGCTGCTTTGTGATGCAGACCATAGGCTTGGGACAGGAGACGCCGACCAAATAAAGGTCAGTATTATAGTAATTTCCGACAAATAAGATAAACGTTCATGTTCTGTTCTTAATGTTTTATAAATTGACAAGCAAACCTACTAGACTCATCCTTGGTTCAAAGATACCGAGTGGGACAAACTCTATGATATAGATGCAGCATTTAAGCCTGAGGTCAATGGGGAACTTGATACGCAGAACTTTATGCAATTTGATGAGGTGAGGTCTTCTACATAACTTTTTGTTTTTGCTTAAATCATGACCAACTTTTAGTTGAATGAATATTCCTCCAACGGTTCGGTGTGGTGTTTAAACGAAGACCGTTGGAGTCAACAAGAGGTCGTTGATTCAAACTGTGTGTGATGCTAGTGTTGAGGATTATTGAAAGGAGTAATCCCACGTCAGCTAATTAAGAGGAAAATCATGGGTTAAGCAAAGAGAGCTTATGCTCGAAGTAGATAGAATGATACCATTGTGGAGAGTCGTGGTTCCAAACATCTAGGTTACGACTTAGGAAACCATGGACATATATGTTTGGTAATAACTTATTTTCTGGTCATCTAGTTTTCTAGATCCTGAAAAGGGTGCTGCTGTGTCGTAGGTCGATCCACCGCCAACGAGAACGGGATCCGGACCAATAAGGAAGGTTAGTGATCAATCTATTGCCCAACTATACCTTTCTACATGAAGAGCAATTGCTGTATTTTATGTTACATCTGATTGTTTCCACCAACTTTTTGTTAGATGTTATTGACTCCCAAAGATCTCAGTTTTGTTGGTTATACATACAAAAATTTTGATGCTGTCAAAGGGCTACGCCATTCATTTGGTAAGAGATTTCTTTCTTTCCCTATCTCATTCTCCGGTTCCCGCACCGTCCCCTCGTATAGGACGTGTAACGATTCTATGTGATGAAGGAACTTATGCTGCTGCCTTTTTTAGCTATTTCTGTATCATAATCTCTCTCGGACATATTATGCACATCATCGTTTATCTTTCAACAGGCTAGAGATTAAAATGTTTTGATGCACATCAAAAATGAAACTTGCATTAAAGTGTGAGATCCCACCTTGATTGGAGAGGGGAATGAAGCATTTCTTATGAGTGTGGAAGCTTCTCCCCAGTAGATGCGTTTTAGAACTGTGAGGCTGACAGCGATATGTAACAGGCCAAAATGGGCAATGTCTATTAGCAGTGGGTTTAGGCTGTTACAAATAGTATCAGAACTAGACATTGGGTGATGTGCCAGCGAGGACGTTTGGCTCCCAAAGGGGTGGATTGTGAGATCCCATAACGGTTGAAGAGGAGAACGAAACATTCTTTACAAGGGTGTGGAAACCTCTCCTAGTAGACGCGTTTTAAAATCGTGAGGCTGATGGCGATACGTAACAGACCAAAGTGGCTAATATCTATTAGCGGAGGGTTTAGGCTGTTACAAATGGTATCGAGCTAGACATTGGGTGGTGTGCCGAGCGAGGACGCTTGGCCCCCAAGGGGGTGGATTGTGAGATCCCACGTTGGTGGGAGAGGAGAATGAAAGATTCCCTACAAGGGTGTGGAAAGTATATGCGTTTTAAAATCGTGAGGCTGATGACGATACGTAACAGGCTAAAGTGGACAATATCTACTAATGGTGGGCTTGGGCTGTTTCAAATGGTATCAGAGTCAGACACCGGGCGGTGTACCAGTGAGGACGTTGGTCCCCAATGCGGGTGGATTGTGAGATCTCACATTGGTTGGATGGGGGAATGAAGCATTCCTTATAAGGGTGTGGAAACCTCTTCCTAATAGACGCATTTTAAAACCGTAATACTAACAACGATGTGTAACGGATCAAAGCAGACAATATCTACTAGTGGTGGGTTTGGGTTATATTTGTATGCTTGTTCTTGTTTGTAGTGAAGACAGTTTGAGTTAAAGCAAATGTGGTAGAATCCATCTAACGTTCTCATTTGTCCAATCCCTCGCATTTCAGATTTGAACTCAAGCACCAGCCCAATTCGGACTTCGTCAGTTGACTCAACACAAAGTAAGAGATTCATGTGAACTATACTTATCGATATCGACACATGTCAACGCATGCTTTTACGTCGTTTCGTGATGAGTTTGTTGCCAACATGGATATCTTGTACAGGTGACTCGGCATTGAACTACTCAACGATGTACTCAGGCGGTGATAGGGAAGCCATATTGGGATCATCTGGGGATGCATTGTCACAGTAAAAATGTCAAAAGAGGGCTCGAGCTTTGGTTTAGGAACTCAAGACCCCACCCACCCTCGTTCCCTCCCTGCATAGGGGAAGGAGTGTGTGAGATTGTGAGCCTTCAGAGGCCTTGTGAGTGCCCAGGTTGGCTGATAAAAACTAGCCTTCTCTTGTGGCAGTTTCTGCCCACATTTGTGCCTCTTCCTTTGTATTCTTCACAACTTGTTCACAAAATCCTTCACTTCTTACCTTTTATTTGTATACCATTCAAAGTTTATCATGTTTATAAGTTTATTCAATCAATTTATTATTGCCGAGAATGTCGTAATTGAAACTTTTTTAGAAGTAAAATAGATAAAAGTTAAAAAGGCCAATATCTCGGAGAGGAAACAATATAACGAGGGATAAATAAGGAGACGAACTGAGGAATGTTCGTGGGCTGGGTTGAATCATGTTGACACATTTTTTAGATTCAACTCAATTATTATAGGTTGTAAATTTTTTTAACCCAAACTACCGTAATTAAATAATCAACTTCTTAAATTTTTTTGAGTTGAATTGTTTCGAGTAATTTATTCAAATTTATGTTTTATATTCAAACATTTAATTAAATTTAAAACTCAATTTCAATATATATTTTTGAAAATTAACTTACAAATTTATAATAAAAAGTATGTATATGTATGTATAGTTTTATCTCATGCAAAAATTTATATTTTAAAATTAGCCATAAATTCGGGATGGTTGCTTGAATTCAACTCAATCTAATCTAATTTTAGCGTGTGAAAATAACTCTACAAAATTTTCATTTATTTGATCGTAACCTAATCCAATTAAGTTTACAACTCAAACACAAACCATTTGATTAAAATTATGACAGTCAGTTTTGTGTCTAATAATTTTCGGACTTTTAATATGGTGTGTAATATTGGTCTGATGGAAAGTTTGATATTTATTAAAAAAAGGAAAAATGATCCATTTTTATATCTAATTTTGTTAATTTTAAAAGGAATTGTATTAAAAATTCAATAACTTATTTAATATTAAGTATTTTTTTTCTAAAATTGTAATTAAGTTTGTAATTCCACTTAATTTTGGTCCGGTTCAAACCAAGCATGAAATCCGATTCGAACCGGTCCAACTGTTATCGCCCCAAAAGACTCCGATTCCCAACACCAGTTTTAATTTATATACCCAAATAGTAATATGGGCATATTCGTAATTTAGGCCTGACAATTTTCATTGCCGATCAAAGCAATGAGCTTCCTCCTCCATGGCTTCGCATGAACAACCTTCAATCTGGAGCTTCAACTCGTGCATAAAAAATTTTAAAAAAAAATTGTTGTTTATTTTTTTTGAAATTATTATTTGTTTCTACTACTGTCCCATTTTGTAGGAATTTTCCAAACCCTTGAATGCCCCGGATCGTTGTAGCTTCAATCGAGCGCGAATATCAACGATTTGTTTCGGATTGGAAGTTGAGGTAGATTCATTTTGCTTCTCAGTTTGATTTAAAACTTCGATCGAATTCAATTATCTTGTTTTTTTTTTTCTGTTATTTCCTAGTATGTCTGATTGTTTGAAGTTGGGTTGAAGGTCTTCTCCGTATCTCGAGAATTTAGCTTCTAGGGTTCTTTCGTTATTTTTGGTTGGGTAGTTATTAAATTAGGTGTAATTAACATAAGGTCAACGAAGTAGAAGGGAAAGCTTCTTTAATTAATTTTGGAGCTTCGAGCTGGAAATACTTTTCTAGCAGAATCTTTATCTAGATGGGCAGGTGAGTTGGTTATTGGAGTCAAGTTTATGAAAGGAAATGCCGTGGAATAGACATAAAAGTTGCAGATACGGAGCGGAATACTATATGATGAAACTTTGTTGTTTCCGGATTTTACACTTAAAATCCTGTATTTACTTCATTTTGTTGTACTTAGATTTTAGTCTATTTTTATTACAATTTGTGAAATTTTGATAGATCTTGGACTCTCCAAGTGATTAAAACGTTAATGAACTATATTGCGGTGGTATTGATCGAATAGGCTAGCTATGTTGAAATGCATTAGTTGATCCAACTTCGTGCTTTTAATTTTTTTTAAAATTAATCTTCGCTGGTTTCGTTATCTAATGCTAGTTCACTTTGAATATTGTACTTTTTTCTTAGTGTGCATTATTGCTACCATAACCATAAATCCTGGTGTCTTGAATCTGCAGCTATGTCTATTGTGCATTTTCACTTTTAAGATTCTTGAAGTGTTGTCTATGGACAACTTGAGTATAGATGAACTAGTTTAAGCATTTTGACATCGGCAAAAAGGTTAGAAGTTTGAAACCCCAACTCATTGTCATGGAGTTGAACTCTAAGAATAGGATCATGATATGGGGTTATTTGTATTCAGTGGAGGGGAGAGGGTTTATGCATGTGGTCAGTTACCTTAGCTCGAGCGGATTGAATTTCTCCAACTTTATCTTTAGAAATATTTGAGTTTCTTACATATTTTTTCATCTTACAAATATTTAAGACCCTCGCAGATGTAATACCTGGCTGGAACTTGTAAGCATGTTAACATGAAGAAAATATAGATGGGATTTGATTCTAATGACCACCAGTATGTGGATAAAATTGTCCTCTGTTTTCTATGGTTTGCAATTTCATCTTGGTTCGGATCTTTTTTATGTTGATTTTATTTAATAGATAGTTTCACTTTTGAAAAATGGATTCACACTTCAATGTGAGTATCCTCACGTCAAGGACCAATTTTAGCCAGTAGACAATGTAATTTATCAAGTTATGCCTGTAGAAGTGAGGATATGTAGGTATCTACAGGTACCTTGGTTCATATAATGTGGGAATTCAAGATTGTCTGGACCAGGAAATTAGTTCTGACACTAGGCACAAGTTATCCATTTAGTTGACTAATTACATAAATGCAGCCGTTATCTTCACTCATCTCCTTTTGTATGTAAATATCTTTTCAATAAAATTTCTCTTTAAAAAAAGTATTACATACCAGTTAATTAGAAGATTGGTCTTTTATTTTATTGAGATAGTTTTATCTTACTCTTTTATACTAGTTGAGTGATACGGAGTAAATAGAGGAGAAAGTCTTTAGTTTCTGTCCCAAAGTTTGTGTTCCCTAGAGTAGGATACTAATCCAAAAGGATTTCAGAGCTTTGCTTCTTTTCCTGTATTTATCTACTTGAATGCTTTTAATTTTTTTCTCTAAATATTCTGGATGTGAAGTTCTGTTCATGCCTTCTTACATTAATGAGTTTCGGTTCTTATAATTTTCTTTTTTTTACAATCTTGGATAGGTAAACCATCTTTCTGTTTCGAAGCATGGGTTAAAAGATCCTTGCTGTATGTTACTTTGCTTTCTTGGGCTATGGTATGGATGATGCATGGACTCTAACCGGATGGTGATGCCTAGCAAGTTTGAATTTACTTCAGGTAGCCCAGATAGACCATTACACTCTAGTGGGCAGCGTGGAGCCCACATGGCCGTTCCACTGGACAGATCAAGTAGCTTTCGCGAGAATGGGGAGAATCCAAATTTATCTACTCTTTCAAATATGTCAAGAAGTGCTTCTGCTGTATCACAAGGAGACGTTCTAAATTTCTTGCAATGTTTGCATTTTGGTCGAAAGTTGGTTGCTACTGATGAAAAGTCTAATCGCCCGGGGGACTTCAGCAGGCAGTTACATCTTGCTCTTAGTATGTCCCCAGACGATTCTCCATCTAGTTCTTCAAAAAGTAAATTGGCAGCATCCGTGATGCCAGAAGAAATCAAGCGAATGAAGGGTAGTCTACGTGAGTGCTCTATCAAAGCCAGGTAGTTCTTCCTAAACTTTGCATTTTGAAATCAAAATTTGTCAAAGTTTTTTGTCAGATCCTTTGACTTTTTTTTTTTCCTTCGGAACAGGAAACGATTAAAAATTTTCAACGAGGCCTTATCTGTATTTAACAAGTTTTTCCCGAGTGTACCATCAAAGAAGAGGTCACGTTTAGAAGTTTATAATAATGAGCGATCCAATTTCATTTTATCTGGTGAGCGGTCAGCTAGGGGGCAAGTAGGTAAGTTTGGAAATCAGAGTCATGCAGTCACTGGTGTTTTTGAACATGAGATGCAGAAACCTGAAGAACGAATAAAAAATGCTATGCCGAATAAACGCACAAGAACTTCATTGGTGGATGCAAGGGGGGTTTGTACCTTATTCCTCTTACATAATTATGTTCTTTTAAGGCTTTTGATTCAATATTTTGACCCTTTTTCATTTTGTATATGTACGTTTTATATGGTTGACCCATTATATAGTTGTCACATTGGCTTGCCTTTTTACATTTGCCAAATCTCATTGACATCCATATATTTCTTGTCTAAATCTTATGTCATACTTCAATGTCGTTTGTTTACTAGTAGATTTTTCACAATGTTATTTCTATGTTGTAGCTTCCTTGAATTTGTGCTGAGATTTATGTGAAGTTCAGCTCGTCTTCTGTTGCTTGACAGTTTTCATGGACTTTAAATTCTACAGATGGATGTTCGTGGTAATGCTCCTGCGAGACAATCTGGAGCTGAAGATAGGGAAAGAGATGCACTAAGGCTTGCAAATAGTGGTGCTGTTCAAGGTGAAGATAGGAGTTTATCAATTGGCGTTGATGGTTGGGAGAAGTCAAAAATGAAGAAAAAACGATCTGGAATAAAGGCAGATGTCTCTTCGAGCTGTCAATCGACCAAACCAGCAGATAGCTATGATGAAGTTAAGCAACAATTGCAGCAAAGACCTGTTTCTGATGCTCGATCGCGAATAAACAAAGATAACTTTGGGTTTAGGTATAACTTTCTGAGTCTTGTAAACATCCTCTTATGGCCACACTATTTGACCATGTGGCTTAAGACATATATTCATGCATCAATTTGTTTACGGTAATGAATGAATTATTTGAGTCTACAATAAATTTAGTCATATACTCAGATAAATGTCACAGATACTTCTGATAAAGATGATGGGTAGATGCATGCATGCTTGTCATTTATATTTTTCTTCATACCATGGTTTGATGCTTGAAGCTTGCATAGTGGAGAATTGCCCCTTGGAGAGTGATGATTATATGTGCTTTATATAGGCCAGGGGCTGCTAATGGAGCTTCTGGTGTTGGAAAATCTGATGGTGTTGCCCAACAAATTGGCTTGGGTATTCGTTCTTCCATGTCCAGGACTGATTTGGATGCCAGTTCCCTCGTCAATGACAGAAGAGATAATTCTATTGGTTCAGACAAAGAAAGAGTCAACGTCCGGGGTGTTAATAAGTATATCCCTTCCATACTACAAATAAAATATTTTCTTTTTTTAAATGATCAAAGCCACCTATTGCGTGGTCCTTTGGATCTTTTTGCTGCATTTTTACCACTTTCACATTCACCTTCCTTCCTTTTAATTCTGGGATCTTGGTTTAAATTCTATTCCAGGCATTATTACAAATTTGAGATTGAGAATGTCCTTCACCTCGGTTTTCTATTTTGATCATGCACTCATGAATTTTCTATCCATCAACTGTTTAGGTCAAACGTCCGTGACGACTTCATTTCAACCAGTCCTACAATAAATGCTAAAGTGAATCCATCTGTTCGTGCTCCACGGTCTGGTTCAGGAATTGCTCCAAAATTTTCCCCGGTTGTTCACAGAGCAGTTGCTTCTAATGATTGGGATATGTCAAATAGCGCAAATAAGCCTACTGCTGCTGTGGGTGTGAGCAATCGCAAACGCATGACATCAATGCGGTCCTCATCTCCTCCAGTTTCCCAATGGGCAAGCCAGAGGCAGAAGATCTCCCGTGTTGCAAGAAGGACCAATCTTGTTCCTATTGTTTCAAGCAATGATGATACTCCTCCTTTGGATAACGCATCTGATGTTGGGGGTAATGATAGTGGCTTGGGATTTGGTAGACGCATGTCTGGCAGTTCTCCACAGCAAGTGAAAATAAAAGGTGAACCATTATCCTCGGCTGCCTTATCTGAAAGTGAGGAATCTGGGGCTGCCGAGATCAAATCGAGAGAGAGGATCCGAAAATCGGATGATTTAGATGATAAATCTGAACAAGGTGGTAAAAAGGTATCTTCTTTAGTTCTGCCAACCAGGAAGAATAAATTGGTTGATGAAGACGTTGGAGATGGGGTTCGAAGACAAGGGAGGAATGGGCGTGCTTTTACTTCCACTAGGTCTCCCGTGCCAATGACAGTTGAGAAGATCGACAATGTAGGAACTGCAAAACAGCTTAGAAGTGCCAGACTCGGATATGATAAAGTTGAAAGGTTAAACTTATTTTGCATGTATAAAGTTTCTAGCTTGTTTAAGAAATGTCATTGTGTTATTTCATCTGGTTTCAAAATTCTCATTATTTTTCACACTCCACTCAGCAAGGCAGGTCGTCCACCTACTAGGAAATTTACTGACCGCAAAGCATATAAACGTCAAAAGCCCAATGTGGCGACAGATTTTCTTGGTAATTGAATTTCAGTTTTGAACAGAAATTTCTTTGTGAGTGTGAGAATTCCTCCCTCATATCAGATTTTTCTAATCATGTTTGGTTGAATTTTCTTAGCTGGATCAGATTATGGGCATGAAGAGCTATTGGCTGCTGCTAATGCTGTAAAAAATCCTGGTTTGTTCTTATATTTCATGTATACATATTTTTCTACAGATTTCAAATATTATTTTGTTTTGTATGCTATATAAGTTAATCACACTGCAACAACAGGTCGCACATTTTTCAACCCATTTTGGAGACAGATGGAGCAATTCTTTCGTTTTATATCTGAAGCAGATATTACTCACCTAAGAAAACAAGTATGGCCTACTTTTGCATTCTACCACTACTTTTCTTCTTTTATTCTGCCCCTTTTAATTAAACCCATCCGGTAGAAAAAAATGGTTTTTTCCCTTCTTGAAAATGCTATGAATATATTATATATTAAGTAATTTAAAGATAGAGGTAGGAAGACGCTCACAGTTTGGTTTTGTTTCAGATAAAGCTGAAACTAATTAGGTAACTATAACAGGTAACTATAACTGCTCAAGCCCACCACTAGCAAATATTGTCCTCTTTGGACATTCCCTTTTGGGTTTCCCCTCAAGATTTTAAAAAAAAAACGCATTGGCTAGGGAGATGTTTTCACGCCCTTATAAAAAATGTTTCGTTCTCCTCTTCAACCAATGTGGGATCTCACAATCCACCCTCCTTCTGGGCCCAACGTCTTCGCTGGCACACCGCCCAGTGTCCGACTCTGATACCATATGTAACAGCCCAAGATCACTACTAGTAGATATTGTCCTCTCCTTGGGCGAAACATTTCGGACTTCTTCAATGTTTTTAAAACGCGTCTACTAGAGAGAGATTTCCACACGCTTATAAAGAATGTTTCGTTCCCCTCTCCAAAGGATGTGGGATCTCACAGGATCTTTCATTTCATCTGGGCTCTGATTGATTTTCTTGCCTTTTCATCCTTTGTTTCTATGGACAAATCATTTCTTTGACCTTTGTCGTCTGAATTGGTTAGGTTTAAAAATTGCTGCAGTTTTATTTTCAAGCTTATCCTAATTTTTTGAAATTGCTGCTTAGTTTCTCTTTCAGGGAGATCTCGAAGGTACTGCATTGGGGCGAAAAGTTGTTTCAGACAGGGACAGTTACAATATCAGTCGTGATAATTTTGAGCACGTTGACAATGATGCAAGAGGAAAAGTTCCTTTAGAACATATAATTCACGAGTTAAAAGATCATACTGTAATTCCTTTATACCAGAGACTCTTAGCCTCATTAATTCCAGAGGAGGTTGCTGACAACGAAAGTGAAGAGACCAAGTTCGATAGTTACGGAATGCCCGAGTTAGATGAAGATTTTAAACCAAACAAATTGAGTCACCAAATTTCACCTAGTTCTCAGTTTTCTGGGCATTCTGCTAATGATGATTATAACATGAGAAGGGGACCAGGATCAGATCAATACATGCCTGAAACAGATAGACAGGGCATCCCAAACTCTGTGATGATATTGAACTTATCTAATTCCATGAACGGCTCGATCTCTAATCAAGCTTTTATGCCTGGAACAGCCTGTTCAGAGTTTCAGTATGATGGCATGCAGTTGAGTGAGAAACTTCTGTTGGAGATTCAAAGTATTGGCATTTTTCCAGATTCAGTGGTATGTTTACTATCGATAGATTCTTATGGCCACTCATCATCTTGTCAAATAGCTGAAGTGGTTTTATATGTGATGAACAATAAACATTTAACTGCTTGCTGAAATTTTTAAGTCTAGGTGTTAAGATTGGACTTGCGAGTTCTCTTTTTAAATATTAATGTCACATGGTACAAACAGCTCTGTGTTCCCATTTTTAGCTTGTATATTTTGCATTATAAAAAGACCCTAGGTCCCTGCACTACTTCCTTTAAGTCTTAAATTGAAAATATGTTTTTCTAATTTAATAAATGTTATGGAACTGCTAAATGTTTAAGAAGTATCTATGCGACTCATTCTTTCTATTCTGTTGCACGTATTCCGTCAGAAGTCTTGGATCAGTTGCACATTCTTCATCCCAGTTTCATTCTTTCTGTTTTATCCTTTGTAATTATTTAAAAAAAAAATTGAAACAATGGTCTGTGCTTTTTCAGCCTGAAATGTTACAGATAGAGGAGGAAGAGGTCATCAATAACATCCATCTGTTGGAAGAGAAGAAGAATGAGCTGGTATTCCTTAATTCAATGAGTTAAAACTACCAAGTTGCATCGGTTCTTGCTATGCTTATATCCATATACTTGTCATGGCTTTTATTGTGCCGTGCATTTTTGGTAAAAATTCACCCGATACAATCTGTATTCATTGATGCAAATAGGTTTCAAGAAAGAACTCTTTGCTTCACAAACTGCTCCAGTCTGTCTTGGCCTCAAAGCAGCTTCAAGAAAAGTATAGTTTCCTCTTTGGACTTTTTAATGCATAGCAGCACTTTAACCTCCATTAAATCTTTTGCATATTCAAGGTGTTAAAAGCATTTTTTTTAATCCCTACAGAGAGTTCGAAAGGCTTGCCATGGATAAACTTGTTGCAATGGCTTACGAGAAGTATATGGTAATCTTCCCTTTCAGCTTTATATGTTAAGCTTCCACAACTTTATGGTCTTTCCTATTTGTTTCATTTTTTATTCCATTGTCCTTAATTTAGCACATGAACTTCTAGTGGCTGCCGCCAGCGATAAATGGATATACTTGAACCTTTTAAAGGATAATGGTTTGAGATAACTGATGAAGACGTAATGGGAAAATGGATAAAGCAAGATTTTATTTCCTCATACTGTGGTTCTGTTTCCTTTTCCCTCTCGAATAAGAACTATTAACTGGTAGAAGAAAATAATAAACATTGTTTTCCTTCAAGTTTTTCATATGGAAACATAAGTTACAAAATTATGGGTCAACAGGCTTGCAAAGTTTCTAATGCCTCTAGTGGAAAGAGTTCCAGTAACAAAATGGCGAAGCAAGCTGCCTTGGCATTTGTTAAAAGAACATTGAACCGATGTCATAAATTTGAGGACACAGGAAAGAGCTTCTTCAGTGAGCCTTCATTTCGAGAGATATATTCTTCCTGGTCTGTCAATCCCAATGGTGAAAGACAGACAGATCCTGTGGAGGGTGAATCGTATGCCTCCATTCAATCTCTGGATGGCAGAGTCTCAGGTGTGTATTAAGATTCCTTGTAGAAACTTACGAAATTCTGTTAATAATCGTGTGATATCTTCAACGTGGACCTCAAAATTGTCATATACGCAGAATTCTGTCATTCTGAGTTTTTTCATTTGAATTTCTTTTCTCGTCATTTTCATGTATATTGTGTATGAAATAGGTGTAGCGAAAGTCGCCTATAAAATTTGTCCCGTCTGTAGCTTTTGCAGGTTCACAGCATAGCCCTTCACACTTCAGTCAGAATGCGGAAAACCACGATATTACATCTGGCAATGTGCTTCCACCTGCTAATCACCAAGCTGAGCGAACTAGTGGAAGAGAAGAAATATGGTCAAACAGGGTAAAAAAGAGAGAACTCTTGCTTGATGATGTCGGTAATGCAGGTGCCCCATCAGTCATTGGGAGTTCTATTTCAAGCAGTGCAAAAGGAAAGCGGAGTGAAAGGGATAGAGATGGTAAAGGGCATAACAGAGAGGTGTCATCTAGAAATGGAATTAAAATTGGTAGGCCAGCACTATCCAATGCTAAAGAGGAAAGGAAAACTAAGACAAAGCCGAAGCAGAAAACTGCCCAATTATCAATTTCTGTTAATGGCCTTCTGGGGAAGATGTCAGAGCAACCAAAACCATCATTGTCTCCTGTATTAAAATCAAGTACTTTGACTGGTGGTTCAAAAGAAAAGGATCAATTTGGCTTTGATGGACTCGATGACCCCGAGTCCTTATATTTATCTAATCTTCAATTACCGGGAATGGACGTATTAGGTGTTCCTGATGATCATGATGGTCAGGCTCAGGATCTGGGTTCATGGTTAAATATTGATGATGATGGTTTACAAGACCAAGATGACTTCATGGGCCTTGAGATTCCAATGGATGACCTCTCAGAATTAAATATGATGGTTTGAAGTTGCCTTCCTTGTATAGTCTTCAAATCTTGTTGATTAATACCTTACAAACTAAAGGGTGACAGGTAGTTGCATAGTTATTGGCTACCGATCCAAATTAGGTTATTAGATTCTTTTGAGGCTCCTCTTCAAGTTATATTTCAAGTAAATCTTTCGGATGTTTCGAGTTTTGATCCTGTATTTAGTTGGTGACTTCGACTGTAAAGATAGTCTTGTTCAACCTACAAGTTAGTATAGTCATAGTGATATGCAGGGTACACAGTATCCTTCATGTAGCTTTTTGATCAGAGAATGATACCTCTTGTACATAAACTTTATATTTGAAATAAATCTGCATCTTATTCTGCAAGGATCTGGAAATTGTTTGTAAATTTTATTTCCTATTTTCTTATGGTACATAATTCTTTTAGCATAGATAATCTGTCGAACTGCAGCAGTGGATGTTATAATAGATACTGCTATACAGAGAGGAAATTGCCATCAAAATCTGCTTGGGAACGTAAGGTAAGGTTTTAAAGTTGCAACTTTTAAATTGATTACCCCTACTGATATTATTGCTTGTGCTTGGAGAGCAAATTGCAAACTGAACACTAGACTCCCTGCTTTTCCCAATTTATGTGAAAGATTTGCTTGTGGAATCCATAATGTTGTATTTATTATCCATCTGAAGGATATACTTCCAAGAGGACCATGAAGAAGACACTTGGTTCGAGGTACATTTCGTGTTTTCTGAAGAAACTGTTGATGTCCGAGAAGAAACCGAGTCCTAGTTACAACCGTATAGAGGATACTGATTCAATAGCCTTCTTGATTGATCTGTTGATTGTCTTGCTGCAGGTCTTCAAACCATTTACATATGAAACTGGTTTCCACTTTCCGTACCTTGATGTTACCAAAGCTAATGCATTTGCGGTCACTACAAAAGCTTGAGGTAAACAAGTTCCAGTTTCTCATTTTCTTCCAGCCCCTTTAAGATGGAAACTTGAATACTGGTTGGATACATCTTAGTCTTACTTATAAAATTGAAAGGCAGGAGAAGGAGGAAAAAAAGGATGTATAGGTGTGAAGATTCCACGTCGGTTGGAAAGAGGAACAAAACATTTCTTATAAGGGTGTAGAAACCTCTCCTTAACAGACGCATTTTAAAAACCTTGAGGGGAAGCCCGAAAGGAAAAACTCGAAAAAGAACAGTAGCGGCTAGCAGTGGACTTGGGCGGTTACAAAAGGGTATACTGATAGCCTTTTTTTTTTTATACGCTTACTTCTCTTGCTGCACTTGGAAAATAGTTTAGAATTTTCCTGAGGTAGTACCAAACCGGAATACATTTGCCTGATCGCTACAATAGCTCGAGGCAAATAAAATTTCAAAAGTAGGATGTCGGTTTATCATTTTCATCCAATTGTCAATGCTGATCAATGTTATTTTAGGAGGAAATATAGAAACACTGAAAGTTCAACTACCTGCAGGGACATAGATCTGAAAAAACTAGTTAGCCAATTCTAATCCTGGAGGATGTTCCGAGTTGGTATGATTTTACACAACACTCGTTCAAATCCACGGATGAGCAACAGTCAGTTCCTCGTATATATAGTCACCTAAGGGTATACTTTCTTAGGCTTTCCTTGGCTCTGTACTTCTTTCTATCAATGAATCCCTACTCACTTTTGTCAGTTTTACCATATGTCCAGTTGTATACTGAATAATTGTAGAGAAACTGTAACTGTTAGGATTCCTGCTCGTCCAAGCATGTTATGTTCGAGTCTTGTTCGACAAGAAGGATACCCAAGTAGTTTGAAGTTGTGAACCCCATACTAGAACTTTGAACATTTCTTATCATAAATGCATTATTTTTTCCTTGAACATTCACTTCAATCCAAAATGAATGTTCGATTGCAACTATTCATTGAAATTTTTAATTTTTTAGTTCAACATGTGAGGATATTTGAACTCCTAACATCTTCGTCAAATCAGTTAAGTTAAATTTAGATTATATTTAGATTGGCAAAAGTTTTTCTATTAAACCGCCTTTTTACTGCCATCCCTATATTCTTTAGAAGCTACATGCACAAATTCAACTTCAGATAACGATATAAACCAGAAATGTTGGATGGGGATTAAAATTTATGCACAGTGCTTCTGTCATACATGTATTAAATCATTGATGCTCCAAATTTTACATGGTGAGTAGTAGAATGGGATTACAAAATCTTACAAGAAAAGGCCACGATGTGAAATCTCTTTGCACAACATAACATCCCGGTATCCTTCTGAATCATCCTCGAGAAGGATCAGAACCGGATCTAAAATGTGACCAATAAAGGAACAACAATCATCCAGTTCTGATTGAAACTCCTCTTTCAATCAGACAAACTGAAGTAAAACAAGCAGCATTCAGGAGAATGTGAGATGGCGGCGTAATCCTTGTCCATCCCCTGCAAGCCTTAAAAGCAGCCAACAATTGAGATTATCGTGTACGAGGCAGAGAATGAATGAAAACAATAAAAATGATGCATCATTAGCATGAACAGATAATGGTTAAGCTAGAGAGAGAAACAGAGATAGAGAAGCTTATGTGGGCCATCTTGGGACATTATCATGTTTCTAACTTTCATCAAATTTGAACCCTTTTCACCTATTATATAAGTTTTAAACAGCTTTCATGCAGGTTTTGAAGCCTCGTCTAGCGAGTTCATATATTTCTCATAAGCTGCTGTACAAATATTACTTCAGCCACTTGTCCTGGACAAAGCTGGCGTCCTTGATTTAATCATATCGCATATACGCACAAATCATGCACATTGTTATGCTGGGGAATCAAATTTGAATATTCAAGATGCCCAACATTGTGAACTGGCAGAGGTGACCGCAAAAGAATCTCTCACTAGCATGGGGGGATAGATACTTGGTTTTAAGAAATACATCATAGAAGGGCCAAAAGAGAAAACATAGCTAAATACATGTTTGGCATGCAAACATGAAATCCGAGAAATTCCCAATTAATACACCAAATGATAGATTCCATCGCAAAGAAAAGATCGCCTTACACTCAACCAGATACAGAAAGATATCAAGAGTAAGTCTTCAATGGAATGTAGTTCCATATCATACCAGATCAAATTTAGAACGTTGCAAGTGGAGTCCCTGCATCATTGAAGTAAGATGACAGGTCAATATCTGTATCTTCATACATTTTGACGAAAGGGTGTTCCTGAAAATCACACAAAAGGAGAAGAATATTTCAGATTTATCTTTTCTATTATGCTGATGACATCTTTCTTATGAACATGTGGAAGGAAGAAATATATACCAAAAGTTCACGTGCTGACAGTCTATCCTTCGGCTCCGTTTGCAAACTGATATTCATATAGATTACCATCGTCTGAGTTAGCAATTCTCATATTGTAAAAGAATTGAAATAAGCTAGAGTACAAAAAAACACCAACTTAGAGATACAAATTCCTACTCATATTTCATATAATAACTGGCATATTCTTTAGAAAAGGGTTGTTTAGTGGTAGGCTGTTAAGACCCCAGGAAAAATCAGATCCTTACCATGCAGAAATGAAGGAACAGAAATTGGGAGTAAACTGGTCGGCTGGAGCAGAAGGAGGTTCGCCCTCAGCAATGGCTACCATAAGATCATAAAAGTTATCCCATCCTCCATCTTTCTCGGGTGGAGAATAAGGGAATTTGCCGGTTGCACATTCAAGTAATATCAGCCCCAAGCTCCAAATGTCACTTTTTTTGCCATGTCGATTTCCAATAATTCTCTCTGGCTATAAATAACAATGCATAGACACACCAGTAAGCTATTATACACATAGGTTATATAGATGGAAAAAATGTACAGCTCTTACCAGAAAAAATGTAAGGAAGACAAACAGCGAAAGCATTGTATTTATGTGAATATATTGAGAATTGATACTCACAGACATATAGTTATATGTGCCAACGAAAGTATTAGCCTCTCCAGTTGTGCTTGCCATAATCGCACTCACACCGAAGTCGGTAATCTTTACTTCCCCTCTATGATTTACTAATAAATTAGAAGGCTTCAAGTCCCTATGGATGATGTGTCTTTCGTGGTGAAGGTACATCAGCCCCTTCAGCACCTGAAGAAGAGGAAAGGGGTTAAAAGGAAGTCTACAATTATCTCCTTTAGTGGAAAAGTAAATGAAGTAAAAGAACAAATTCCCAATATCCAAGCTGGACTTCTTTGCACCTACCTGCTTACAAATGGCAGCAAGATATGGTTCTTCAATTTTTTTAACCTTTTTCAGAAAATCAGCTAAAGATCCACCATCCATGTACTCTAAAATGATATATATCAACCCATTATCATAGAAAGATTGGTAACAGACAACAATATAGGGACACTGTGCTGATTGATTGATTTTCAGTTCTTTAGCAATCTGCCTGCGGTAAGACTCCTCAATTTTCATCTCAATTACCTGAAAGAGGATAGGAACTCATATGATATGAAAACATATTGATAATTTCTTAGATTTGGGCTAATTAATGCTGAAAATTTTATTCTAAAATATCTAATGGGAAGAGTACAGACAGGAATGTGAAACAGCTTGTCTTAACGCTCATTGACTGACTAGTTCACCAAAACAACTCCATAAATGTTGAGATGGTAGAGTAGATTTGATACTGGGTTTTTGGTTCAAACTGTGAAGGAAAATTATATCTTCTTTTATTAAACAGCTTTTTACTCACATGAAATTATGTCCAGAAATTCCATCTATTAAAGTCCTTAAACTTCTATAAAGAAATCACCGAATGCTATAGTTGCCATGAAATTATAAGACCTTACTAAAAATAGCGTCGAAGTACTTGGAATGAAATAAATCCTTAGATTCTGTTGAAATGTATATGCACTTGATCTTTCTTAAAACAACAGAGATAAAAACATAATTTGAAAGCAATGTTGAAGTAGCTAAGGAATACGTTAGATTCAAAAAAAATGCAAAAACAGATGAAGGGGAGTTAGTCCTTCAAAAATCATAGACTTTCAATATCATGATAATTAAGATGCTGGAAGGGAAGCCTTGCAGAAAATTTCATGATCACAAAGACTGAAACAGAAATCATGCTATCTAGCCATTTTTTGAAGCACCAACACTAAATAGCCTATAAGGCACACAAGTCAGAAGCACATAAATTTTGGGAAGAAGATAATGTTTAAGCCGTGCAGTGTAATACCTTCAATGCAAAAAACTGAGCAGTCCATTTGTGCTGAACTAATTGCACAGTTCCACCATTTCCTTTTCCAATGACTTTAATTGTGTCTATGTCCGCTAAACTCAACTGATCATCTGTAGGCTTAATCGGAGGTGGCTGAACACACAGGTAGACAGACAAAAAAAACAAGTTAGTATCCCATTACGCACAACATAGTTAGTAATACAACATAATCAACCACTTTTTCCATTTTCTCCCTGTGTGTCTAAAAACAAACAAGTTTAACGAACGAATCTGATGTGATATTGTGAGATCTCATAGGAGAACGAATCATTCTTTATAAGGGTGTGGAAACCTCTCCCTAGCAGACGCGTTTTAAAAACTTTGAGGGGAAGCCCAAATTGGACAATATGCGATGGGCTTGGGTTGTTACAGATATGCAGTTCATTCGTTCATTAGTTGACGAGAACATAATAACAACTCTAATTCTCTAAGCCAAATTAGATATCCATTCCCTGGTTACTGAAATGAGTACAGCACATCCGGTCTGTGTATAAGGATTCATAATTCCATAACCAATAACTTTATGCTACAGAAACAGAATCAAACACGTCCTATGTAACAAGAAATCGCATAATCGAAAAGCTAAAACGCTAAAAGCCTAAAACCCCCAAGCAAAGTATCAAAACTACAGCACATTATCGTCCACTGAAGAAACTACGCTCTAAAACTGAGATATCTTACTGCTTCAACTTCGCTCTGAGAAACAATCCGAACTCCATCTCTGTTTACAAGCAGATCACCATCCTTAAACGTGCCGCTCTGCGTTCTACACAAGAATAACAAATCCAAATTCCAGATTCATCAGAACATTCCATTACTCACACACACGCACGCACAAACAGAGAGAGCGAGAGAGAGAGAGAGAGAAAAATTACAGGAACTTGGCTATGGATTGGTCTTCTTGAGGGAGACTGAGTTTGAGGTTGAGATTGTTGCTTAAGCCTCCCTTCCTCATTGATGGTGGATATCTTCCACTTCCAGGCTTCAACCCCTGTAGAATCGATACTCAAATCAAAGCTTCTTGTGATGATTCGATGACTGGGAGAGAGATTCAATTCAGAGAACCGTCAAAGACATCTTTATACATATATATATATATATGATGAATTTATGGCTCAATTGCCAGCTGTAATTGAAATGGATAGATATACCAACATTAATAACAATTAGGGGAAAATATTTTTTTAGTCCATAATTACAATATAAAAACATTTCTAATTTAACATCATTCAATTTAATTTTTGAATATTTAAATATTTTAATTTGATCGAGAATCATCCTAGCCATACTCAATCCTCATTTTACTTGTTCTTTCTACTTCTTGAACGTCTTTCTATCGATCGAGAATGATACAAAATAGTATAACAAACTAATAACGTTAAACAAAAATAGACTCATAAGATCGATGATCGAGATAGAACTAATAAATTTTAAAAATATAATTACCATCGATATCATTATTATTCCAATTTCTAAATCTATTTGATTTATTTTTGTCATTTTTTTAATATTTTCAAAACTTTGACCAAACTCTACACAACTGAAATTAATTAATTAATTATTTAAGGGCCTTATCCTTTTTTTTATTATCAAATTTATCTAAAATCTAGAGATAAATATTAGAATAAAAAAGTTATTAATACAAATTTTAATTAGAACTTGATATAATTTAGTGGATAATGGTATAATATTGATTTTTCGAAAAAATATGACGTCATAATTATTAATAAAAATGACGTGAAAATTAATATAGTGAAAAACAGCACGTCAAAATATCAAAGTCGACATTGAAACCGAGTGCGTGCCGGAGACGGCAATATCGACGGTTGTCGACTGAGTTCTAATGGGCCAAAAGCCCAGCCCAAATATCAATTTTTTAAAAAAATGTGACAGGCAGCTTATTTTTTAAAAAATAATTTTAAAAAGTTGTAACATTTGAATTATTGAATTAGTTGATAGGTCAAATTACGAATTTATCCTTTTCATCTATTCATATAATTGATTTGAATCACATTCAATGAATAGAATTTCACCTAGTAACTTTAATCTTGGGTAAAATAGGTAAAAAAAAAGGTATGATTTATACATAAAAAAAGGGGTAACTAAAAAAAAAGGCTCAATAAAGGAAAAATAAATAGAAATATATGTGGAAATTAGAAAAAGGGTACAGGCTGTCCAGTGGGACACTTGAAACTTGGTGGGCCCCACACTATTCTTCTTCTTGTCAGTGGTTCAACTTTTTCCACGCTGTCACCTCTCTCTTTAGGAACCAAAAATCCCATCTCACGCGCCATAAGTTCACGTGCTACCACGTACGGTTCAGATTTCCTGTTTAGAGCGTGATGTTCAGTCGCTGATGACATTTGATAAGATACGGATTGCGTTTGCCGCTACGCTTCAAAATATATCTTTTGCGCAATAAAACGGTTCGTTTTGGCTTTATTTTTCTTTTTGATTATCTGATACCAAAAACCCCATATTTGTTTCACTAATATTGGACGATTTTGTTTTGGCTTTTTCTAAAAATATTTCTCATTCCTTTTATACACAATCAGTAAATTATTAGTTTTGTTACTTTTAAATATTAATTTTTTTATTAATTATTTCGTACACTCTCATACTGATCCAATATGGAATGGTAAAGATCTATCTACGATAAAAGCATGTAAAAGGGGTTTGGAACGGACATGCAACCATGGACAACACGTCTTAGACAAGCAAGACTGGGATGTCACAATTGCATTCTTGACAGCAATTAGGCTGCATTTGTTCTAACCCAAAGAACAAGTCACTCGTGAAAAATTTGAATTTTGCAGATAACATCAACATATGTTCGACCTCAAATTACGTTTGTATTATCGATAGTAAAATTACATTTCTACCCTCCAACTATTTGAATACCAACATCAAATCATAGTTACCCATCCATTTATTCAGACAAAGAAAGGGCAATCTATGGAAAGCATATTTTGGGTGGCAATCATGGAGTTTTTAAAAAATATAATAATGGGTTTTTTAAAAAAATAATAATAATAATAATAAAGAAATAAATTGTGGGGATGTAAAGCATTAAATCTTCCCTTGCACTTCAAAATAAATTCAATATAAAATTTACACCTTTTAGAAACTAATTTTAGAAATCTTTAAAAAAAAAAAAAAAAAAACACGTGTTTTTTTTAATTTAAATTAATATAAATATCTTTAAACTTTCCCTTTTATCTAAAATATTATTTAAATCTCAAAAGTTTCAATAATATAATAATTATTTTTTTAATTTTATAAAAATGGTTAATATTTTTTAAATATTTGGTTTCAAAATTACCCCTTAATTTTTTAATTTTTAACTAAATATGAAAAAATCATTTCATATTATTCAAATTTGAAAATTTAAAAATACAATTGAAACATCCTAGTCATTATTATTATGATATTGTCGATGTTCACTACATGCCGACACAAGTCACGTGAAATTTATGTTAATTAATAAATATAAATTATAATTATTTTTTAGGCTAAAATTAGTACTTGCCACATTACTCAAAAAACGAGCTGATCTAAACTATTACTTTGAATGCAGTGATATAGTGAGAAATTCATTGTCCAACTAGATCAAACCTTCGTGCTGGTAGAAACATTGTGACATATAGTTTTCACATAATCTAGTCACAATTCGGCTCAAAAATGTTAATTCAAACACTGGATCAACACCATACATATTCATGCATCGTGACACACTAAAATATAATAAATTACCCGAACTCCTAATGTGCTCTTTTTTCTTTTTCAATTAAAAGAAAATATTTTAAAATATCTAAACTAAGAAAAAATAATAATAATTGGGGTCATTTCATTTCTTGAAGGGAAAAAAAGATTAGATAAAAAGGAAATGGACAGTTGGACCCCTAAAGTGGGGTTGAGGGTGTTTGGTGCCGTGGCAAAAGAGGGTGATTTGGGATTCCATTTAAAAAACCCCTCAATCATTTCTCCCACGCTCCTCCCTCCCCCCTTCTCCCCTTTTGTTTGGATACTAGTATAGTATACCCTTATTCCTAGTCTGTGTTTTACACGTGGCATTTTGTCTCCAAATTCCTTCATTTTCTTTCCCACGTTTCCCCCTCACTCTCTTTCAAATCTCTAAACCCTATTTCTTTTACCTAATATATATATATATATATATATATATATATGCTAGAAACTAATAAGAAAAAGTTTAGGGGAAGACATTAACTCGTCGACAAAGTGGAGGTCACCCCTTTTGTCGACGTCATTAAGATATAGAGAGTCGATCTCTTAAAGAGGATTTGGTATCTTGCTTTTATACTATTTTGAACAGTCTAACCCCACTGTTAGCAGATATTGTCATTTTTTTACTTTTCCTTCCGAGCCTTTCCTCAAGATTTCAAAACGGGTGTACTAGTGAGAGTTGTTTATACTTGAGAATGTTTGCATAATCCACACGACTTTTTAGGTGTAAAAGTTATTTTATTTATAATCAAATAAATTATAAAAAAGAGCAATAAATGAAAATATTTAGATATTTGTCTTATAATAAAATATCAAATATGATATATACGGTAAACTATAATTTAGTATTAAATATCTTTAACAATACCCTTATAAAAAAATGTTTTGTTCCCCTTCTACAAACGATGCAAGATCTTATAATTCACCCCTTTGAGGACCAGCATTCTCGTTGCCGCACCACTTGGTGACTAGTTTTAACATTATTCGTAACAACACAAGGTTACTGCTAACAAATATTATTCACAGAGGTTTTCACACCCTTATAAGAAATATTTCGATATGATTTGACGGAGGAAAGTCATATTAAAAAATAATTTTATTTTTAGTTTTTATTCTTATTTTTCAACCTAAGGAAATTTGTGTCACACTCAAAATCACATGCATAACCACCTTATAGCAACGTTAATAATTCGATATTATGGATAAAATGAAATTAAAATCTTTAAGTAAAACGACTTGTGAACTCCCAAATTAATTAATTTCATAAATATATTAATTTATAAATCATAAGATGAATTGTTGCCCGAAAAAATGGGATTTACAAATTACATTGCATTTCCCTAGACTCCTACCTAATCGAAGTTTTGTCCTAATCAATTATTTAATTATTTAATTATTTAATATTTTTATATAATGTTTTAAAAAATCCATTTTAAACAAATTGAAAAAAAAAAAAAGAAAAAAAAAAGAGGGAGTAGAGTGGAAGTTCCATTCTTCTGTCAACATATCATTCGCTATTTCGCTTTACCCTCCTCATCTAAATCACAGCTCAACGACGCTGTTTCATGGAGCCAAACAGCGACCCACCACCATACTGGTCGCCGCCGACGATGCACCGCCGTAGATCCTCGTCTCCGCCGTTTATTTCTTTGCCGGTTTTGATTATTCTCTTGCCGACGCTCGCTTTGATTATATTGTTCTTTGCAATCCGTCCTCTTCTTTCGCTCACTCCTCAAATTTTTAGACCAAATTCGGTGAAGAAGAGCTGGGATTCTTTCAATGTTCTTCTTCTTTTGATTGCGATTATCTGCGGGATTTTTGCTAGACGAAACGACGACGTACCGACCGCCGCTGACGTCGACGATAGTCGTCGGTCTGATCGCAGGACGGTTGATGCTGCCGGAGTTAAGGTGAATGGGGACTTGGAGTTTCCGCAGCAGTGGTTTGGATTTGCAGAGAGGAGATTTTCCGATCAGTCTGTGAGAACGCCGGGAACGGCGATGAGGTTGAGGAGGAATAGCTCTTATCCAGATCTGAGGCAGGAATCGCCGTGGGAAACTGGTAACGATGGTAATCAGTTTCGATTCTATGATGATTTTGAAATTAACAAGTTTCGATCACGATCCTTCGCGTATCGAACGCGAGGAAGTGAAATAGAAGAATCGCCGGCGGAGATTAAGGTTATTCCGGTTGATTCGTTTGTGGCTAATTCGTCGCCGGCGCATCAAAGGTTGAAGTCTTCTAATCCGCCGCCTCCACCGCCTCCGCCGCTGCCGGTTACTCAGAGGAAATCGAGACGGACATATCAGACCATCCAGAGAAAGGAGGAAGTTCAAGAGGCCAATACGAATGACGCTGAATTCGCGAAGTCGTATACGCCGCCGCCTCCGCCTCCGCTGCCTCCGCGAACAGTTATCCCCCCGTCGCCGCTCCGAGTTCGACTGGAGGAGAGATTTGGAAGGAGTGAACGGAAGANAACAAATGTTAAGAAAGAGATAGCAATGGCGTTGGCTTCACTGTATAGAAAGAGAAAGAAGAAGCAGAAAGCTAAAAATATCTACGACGGCGACCGCCGCTCTCCAACTGAACAACGACCGCTACCGCCGCCCCCGCCTCCACCACCGCCTCCTTCCGTCTTCCGCGGCCTATTCAAAAAATCAAACAAGAACAAGAGAATTCACTCCGAATCTGCACCGCCGCCTCCTCCGCCACCACCACCCGTCCCATTGTCTTCCCGTTCAACAAAGAAGAAGATTCAGATCCCTCCTCCATCGTCACCGTCATTCCGGCAGCGAAATTCCACCGCCAGCCGTCGACCACCTCTCCCGGCGAGGACGTACACTTTCAACATCGAAAACGAAGGCATAAACAGCGGTGGCCAGAGTCCCTCAGTAACCATACCGCCACCGCCACCCCCGCCGCCGTCCAAAACTACGACGGATGTAAAATCCAGGTTTCGAGGCGAAACTGCCAGGTCACGGAGCTCCGAAACCTCTCGTTGCGGATCTCCAGAACCGGAAAATGTCGAACCGTCATCGGTTAAGGAGACAACGGAGCCAGCCAGCGAGGTAAACGGCGGCGGCGGAGTGGGGTCAGTGTTCTGTCCCAGCCCGGACGTTAACATCAAAGCTACAAATTTCATTGCGAGGCTGAGAGGCGAGTGGAGACTGGAGAAGATGAATTCGGTGAGGGAGAAAGAAAGATTGGGCCAAGGCCCAAATTACGAAATAATGGCGGACCCAGGCCCAAACGTTTGAGATTGGAAAACGACGTCGCTTAAAGAAGAATATCCAAAGCTCTGATTGTGGTTTTTTTTGTTCATCTCTCAGAGGCTTTATTTTTCATTTCAGGCTTGCTTTAAACTGTATTTATATTTGGGTGGGTGTTTGTGTTAAAAATTATTATGAGGGCACTATGGGAATTTCATACTACTAATTGGGTTTATATTTTTTTAACAAAAAAAAAGAAAAGAAAAATATATATATACATATACATATAGGTTCTAATTATATTTTTACTGTTTTGTGATTCAAATTGAGAGTGAAAGATATAATGTTTCTTATAAATATAATTACATGATTATGTTTTTTAATTATCTATTTAAATTAAAATTAAATCGTTCATGAAATATTAATTATAATTTTAAATGTCGATAATTTGACCTCAAATCTCGAGTATAAATGTTATTGGGAGAAAACCTATAAATAAATAAATAAACAAATTTTTATTTATTTATTTAAAAATGTTGGACTATAAGAATTATACCAAAAAAAACATTTTTTTTTAATGTGAAAAGCAAAATCAATAATTTTTTATTGTTGGAATTGAATCCATACAACGACGCCGTTTTGTTTTGTTGTCGTTTCCCTCTTCTTCGTATCTGTTGAAAATGCCACAGATAATCGCTCCTCCTTCCTCCTCACCGGCTCCCTCGACGAGACCGTCAAGCTCTGGAAATCTGACGGGCTTGACTTGGACCGCACCAACACCGGCCACTTCCTTGGCGTCGTTTCTGATGCTGCTCATCCTTCCGGTTACGTTGCTGCCTCCGCTTCTCTCGATAGCTTTGTTCGCGTATTTGAGGTTGGTTCCAATTCCACTATCGTCACTCTCGAGGCGCCGCCGTCTGAGGTCTTGAAAATGCGGTTTAATCCCGAGGTAATTCTTCTTTGGCTTATCGATGTTTTGATTTTTGTGTTGTTTAGGAATTTTTTGCTGCTCTTTGATTTAAGGGTTTAACTAAGAATTTGAGATTGTTTTGCCTTTCACGTAAGGGCTAATTGACATAGTAGTCTTTTCTTTTGCTCTTGTTCTTTCTTGGTACAAGATGCCTGATTCAGTAGATTATTGAATCTCAGTTTGTTCATTAACTTGATTCTTGAATGGAGGAAACATCTGTCGATGACTGTGTTTTGGTGAAGTATAGGCTGTTTATTGTTAATTTCACTTGGATCAACGGTTCACTTTTACTGAGACCGTAGTCTATGGAATTCGATGAGTTGAATTTCATATTGGTACGCTGAATAATGGACCGAATTGAGTTATGAATCATATGCTGAAGCAATTTTCGATTCTTTTCAAATACAAATTAGCCCTTTAATTACAGAAATGAGATGTCATTTGTGACAGAAACACTTACTCGTCGAGATGTCTATTTTTAGTAAATAGTTTATCATATTTACTATTGCATATGACATTCGACTGAAGCCATGAATGAATATAATGCCTATAGTGTTGTGCTCAATAGCGTTTGCAGTTGCTTTGGGTAATTTTGATGGTTCTTTTCACACTGCACAAACGTCAACCATTCTCTGATATTCACCCAAAAACGTGGTTCTTGTAAACCCATCAATATATAGATCTGAATATTGTTCGTTGTCATTTATGGAAGTTTAGACTATTTTAACTTTATGGCTGACCTGTTGTTTCTTTTAACAGAACTACTTTGTCCTGTTTGTTCTTTAATTCAACGACCTAAATCTCAATGAGAGCAGTGTTTCAGTTTTATTCAATCTAACCAGTAAAGAAAACCCACAAAAAATCATTTAATCTGTCTCATGTCATGTCCAAACTTAGCAGTAACTTCTGCGTCAGGGTACCATGTCATGAGACAGATACAAACACATGGAAACTGGCTGCAACTCTATCAATTCCTCGTCCAGAAGGCCCTAAACCCACTGATAAAACTGCTTGCAAAATTCTGTACTTTCAGTAGCATGGAGCGTTAATGGAAGAAGACTTGCTTGTAGTATTTGATTTCAAAAGAGTGCTCTCTCCAACTGATATGGGATCTCACGTGCCATTCAAGTGGGGTGTTGAGTGTTGATGAACCCCTGATGGTGCTGTTGCAACAGGTTCAAGCGACAGAACTGTTATGCTTTGGGATCTCCAAATGAGGGCAGCTGTTCAAACAATGATCAAGCATAGCGATCAGGTCTGCTGGGGTGTTGCATTCCGACCGCATGATGGGGCTGGTGTGCAGGCTGGGCGACATGCTAGTGTATCCGATGACAAGAGCATCTCCCTGTACGATTACATTTGAAGCAGACAGATGCAGGGAAGCAAGGACAATGAGTAGTTTTCTAGAAAGCAATCGGTGCCACCGCTTCATCCATAGCTGTTGCCCACACTAATATTCGTTCTACTTCTATGTCAAGTTGCTTGTCTTTTTAGTCATGAATCAGCGACATTATTCTGTTGCCAACTTGTTATCAGCGTTCATTTGCTACCTAGATTTGGAATCAAGGGCAATGGAGCCCAAATTTTATTACAGGAGAAAGAAGCGCACCGAAACTTTGAAGCCAGGCTGAATAATAAAAAGGGCTATACGACAGGCTAATACACTATAGACTTTGGAACCTTATTTAGGGGACTTCCTTGGGAGATTATGCAATCGGATCCATCAATATGATGGTCGTGCATGAGGCAACTTCGATGTAGAGTTAAAAGGGATGCAAACATAGCAATCCTAACGAAAACTTTTCATTTTGAGACCCGTGATACAACCTACTATGAAACACTTTCTCACTTATTTAGTAAGAACAACATGAAAGGGCCTCCTCTCCCCGCTCGTATTTTGCCCGTATCGTGTTTACCGGGGGGACTCATGATCCGGAAGGTATGCCACAACTACTATCGAGATATACATGTTTGTCCTATCGTGATAATAAACAGTTCATCTCTTCGTGACCTTTTCTTGAATTCTCAAAACTTCTATAGCTCCATCTGTCAAAAATCAAATAAATAAAGAAAAGTCGGCTATTGGAATCGAGTGTTCACATCCGTTCAACCAGAGAAGACCAAGAAAATGACAAATCAAGAATGTTACAAAAATTTAGGATTCAGATCAGTTTCATGAATAGTTTTTTTTTTTTTTTTTTAGTTCAAAGACATTTGGGTATGGACAGTTCAAATTCAAACCACTAACCACTAACGGTTGGGTTGAATCGATAATTCATATTAGTTAAATTAAATTAAGTTTATTACAACTTACGAGTAGAAATTATTAACAAAAAAAAGTGGTTAAATATAAAAAAAACAAATTTATTACAAAAACAATTGAATTTTAGCGTCAGGTAAAATGGCCAATGGTGGCGGCGGTAAAAACCCAAGAAGCTGCGATGGCAATTGACGTAAATAAAAGGAAAAACAGGGGGCAAAAACCATAGCCTCCTTGATTACTCTCTAATGTCGGGTTTAGAGCATATTAATGACTAATTGAGACACACGGTATATGGAGGCCACGAATGTTGAACTTAACCAGCAGCCCTCTCTTCTATACCAACGCCACCATCTCACAAACCCAACAAACAGGATACTCCCCAAAATCAAATTGAACAAAAAAATTTTAACTTTTAGAGAGAGAAATCTTACAGCACAGCCTAGAGAGAGAAACCCCTTCACACCCAAAGAAATTGCTTCAACCTTTTTGCCTTAGTTTATAAACAAAACAATCTCACCTCAGAACCAGAAGCTTTGGAAAAAAAAAAAAAAAGGGTAACCCACATAGAAAAGAAGGAAGAACAACAAAAAAAACTTCGCGGCAGCTTTGTTTTCTTCCTTTCTCTCTGTTTATCGCCTTCTTTTAAGTTCCCAATTCAACCCTCTGTATTTGTTTTGTCAATATTTGGTCTTCCATTTCTTACCCTTCAGCTGCTTCAATCCGATCTAGCTTTCCGTGTCCGGTTCCGTTTGTTTCGGATGAGTTTGCGGCGGAGGAAGTTCTTTTGAGGGGATTTTATTGATACCCTTCTGCGAACTCCAGCTCTTGTGGCTTTGTTTTTGGCTATATCAGCTGGTAAAGCTTTGTGGGTACTTGTGCGTTTTGTCCGATCTGGGTCGTCGAGTATTTGGTTCCTTTTGACTCCTTGCTGTCTTGGATGAGTTAACACGGAAGATCGCCGTTCATAATCGCCATGGTAACGTCAATGAAATGATTGATTTTTGTTTTGTTTGCATTGTAATTTGCTGGATTTACTCGGCTTTATGACCATTTTGACTTGAATTCTTTGTATGTTGGTTGGATAGCATGCTGCTTTCGGTTTTTTTAAGAATAAAGTTGAATTTGGACTTTGAACTTATACTATTGGGTAGAGTTTTCAATGGAATGTGGTTCTGACGCCATTTTTTTGAGCTCAAACTATGTTCTTAATCCGTGATGGTCTCATTTCTACTCCTCCAGATTATGGATTAACATCAGGAACATTTCTAACGATGAGTTTAAATTCGTAAATTGAATAGGCTAGATTGTAATATGGAATACCTTCGGATAATAAGAAAGAGAACAGCCAATTCGACCGATTTTTCGGTTCGGTGCAAATAAACGAAGTGACGAAGTGATTATTTCGATCGGTATTTTGATTTGGCTTGTAAATCAAATGGTTGTTGGTGTTTTATTGACTTGTGACAATCATTTACTTCGTGCCATTTTTCAAGCCTTTTCATTCAATTGGTGTAATATTCGACTAATGTACCAAGTGATTGATTTAGAGTTAGGTTTGGGTAAGCGTTGATTCATATAACCGGTAGGATTCTTGAGCGATGTTGATATAATACTCTTTTAGTGGTCTCAATGGAACTCAATCTTTATGGTTTATAAACTAATAGTTTTGTTAAGTTGGAATGTGCTAAAATTTTATAGCTATCATTTGTCATTGAGCTATGATTGCTATTAGAGTTCTTCCTGGTGTTGTTGCCATAAATTCGTTCTTATGATCATCGTCTCTACGACCTGTTCCATCTTTAACTATATGATTACTTGGGTATTACTTGTTATTTCTTATGCATTGCGAGTGCTCGTGTGTGTTGATAAGAAGAATTGAAAGCACTTCAGTTGGTATATATCAAAAAAGTGCTATAGTTGTAAAGAGAGTACTCTAAAAGGAAGTGACATAATGAACAATATCCCACAATTTATAAAGATAATCTTTTTTTTTTTTTTTTTTTGTGAAATTCATGCTCTAGATATCTCTGTTGATTTATATTAGGATGAAGTAGACACTATGTTTATTATAATCTTTTCAATTGCATATGTTTATTGAACTGAATGTTACTGCTCTTTGAACACTAATATGCCTTTTACTGCTTTTCTGTAAGCAGAGTGGACCAGTTAACATCATTGTTGGTTCTCATGTCTGGATTGAAGATCCAAAACTAGCATGGATTGATGGTGAAGTTTTTCGTATCAATGGAGAGGAAATTCACGTCCGGACTACAAATGGGAAGACGGTGAGTCATGCACGAGCTCATGAATTAATATTCATGTCAGCATGTTTCAATGCTAAATTTAAGGAATAACGAACACTTGTTAGCACAATAGATGCATAATACAGTTAGCTGCACAAAGTATACTAAACAGGCACATAATGATATAGGACAAAAATAATATAGCCTGAGAACGAAATACATCAAACTCATTTTTTTAAGTACATAAATCCATAAACTTATTGACTTCAAATTTTCTTGTGGTGTAAAAATGATATATATTCTTAAGAATGTATATTTTAATAAACGTGTCAGGCCATGTCCGTGCCCTAGATTTTAAAAAAAGAACATGTTGTCATGTCCATGTTGTGTCGTATTCATATCTCGTATTTGTATATGTGCTTCTTAGGTCAATAGTATGACAATTCGTGCATGTGCATTTGATTTGGTTCAATAATTTTTCTTGAAATGACGATCGAAGCTGGGCCCATTAGACTGATACTTGACTATTAATTGCAGGTTGTTGCAAATATATCAAAAATATTCCCCAAGGATACCGAAGCACCTGCTGCAGGTGTTGATGACATGACAAAGTTGTCATACTTACATGAACCTGGAGTTCTGAGCAACTTGGCTACCAGATATGAACTCAACGAAATCTATGTAGGAAATTATTATCTCCTCTTTTTGTGACTACAGTAAAAATATTTCCAGATAACAGAGATTTGTATAAATTGCATATCATACATTTAACATCCTTGCAGACATACACTGGAAATATACTTATTGCCATAAATCCATTCCAAAGATTACCCCATCTGTATGATACTCACATGATGGAACAATACAAAGGCGCTGGATTTGGAGAACTAAGTCCTCATGTCTTTGCAGTTGCTGAAGTGGCATACAGGTAAGCTTCCTTTTCTTTTTTTGGATTTTCTTTAGGGACGGGGGATAGATGCGGTGTAACGGCCCAAGTCCACCGCTAGCAGATATTATCCTCTTTGGGATTTCCCTTTCAGGCTTTCCCTCAAAGTTTTTAAAACGCGTCTTTCAGAGCCAGACATCGAGTGGTGTGCCAGCGAGAACGCTAGGGCCTCCAAGGGGGTGGATGTGGGATCCCACATCAGTTGGAGAAGGGAACGAATTATTCCTTATAAGGGTATGGAAACCTCTCCCTAACAGACGCGTTTTAAAACCTTGAGAGGAAACCTAGAAGGGAAAGCCCAAAGATGACAGTATCTACTAGCGGTGACCTTGAGCTATTACATGTGGGATAACAGATGGGGACTACTCATTAGTTTCAAAATTTTTAAGTAGCTTAAGTAACAATTCAATAAATTTTTTTATCCTTTAGTTGTCGTGTAGCCTATGATTTCTTGGTTTAGTTGTGATCTTAAATTAATTAGTCGGGCATCTACTAATGCTTCCATGCATGCATTCTCACACCGCCATTAAGTTGATGGAAAAAAGACCAAAAAGAATGAAGTTTGACAAAAACTTCTGTTCGTTGCTACTTGTTAATATTCGTAGAATCTAAATTCTTGTTATGGGTTAGCAAGGTTTTACAAAGGTGTGTATTTCGTTTCTTCCATTAGCAAGGTGGCAATATAACTTTGATTTAGGTGGAAAATGTAGTTAACCATGCGTTTCCTCCACCGTCTTGGCTTTACTAGCTTCTTCTGTCCATCGTAGGGCAATGATTAATGAAGGAAAAAGCAATTCAATTCTAGTTAGTGGAGAAAGTGGTGCTGGTAAGACTGAGACCACGAAGATGCTCATGAGGTACCTTGCATACCTTGGAGGCCGTTCTGGAGTGGAAGGACGAACAGTTGAACAACAAGTCCTGGAAGTAAGATAAGGATCTTTTTACTATGCATAATAAACTACTGGCACTCCCATAATTGAAGCCTGTGATGTTTATTTCTTTCTATATCCTCCCAGTCCAATCCAGTTCTTGAAGCATTTGGCAATGCAAAAACTGTTAGGAACAATAATTCAAGGTGAGTTTTTCTATTCCGAGGAGTATGTTTCGATTGTTTAATATTGAATAGAAATCATTCAATTTTCTTCTCTCACATTTGTTTGTAGCAAGCTCCATCAAATTTGAAATTGATGTACTTCTCCCATGTCTATGA